TCTGGCTGAGGGTCGGCGGCTACCCTAGCTGTGGACTGACCCATGTCCACAGCTATTGTCGGTTTCCCTGGTTGCCTTGGCTGTTGTTGCCTCTGGATTCGTCATGACGCATGTCGCGATGTGGACAAGCATAAGACAAATGTCGCACACTCTCACAAATATAACAGCGACGAACAGATGGCCCAGTTTGTTGGTACGGAGGTTGGTGATGTGCTGCAGTGGCCTCCAACGCATCCAGTCGCATCCAGTCGCTTCATAATAGCACCCAGCTTATCCGTCAGTCGTGAAGTCACCGCGCAGACCTGTGGCAGAGACTCAGCAGTAGATTGTACGGCTTCAGTGGCATGAACCGCACTAATCTGCAGAGCTGCCTGCAGTGCTGCATCCAAACCCATGGGGTTCAGCTTTCGAACTTCCAGGCGGACTTCTCTGGAATCGATGCCGACAATGAACTGGTCTTTAGCCAAGACAGTTTGGATGTCACGGTGCAGCTCGGGATACGCTCGCTGGGCTAGCTTCCTTATGGCTTCACAAAACTCTGACAGACTCTCAGTCTGCTTCTGCTTACGGCACTTCAGCTCCGCTCGGAATACTTCCACGTTCTGCGCCGCACCGAACCGTTGGTCCATCAGTCTGGCTAGTTGGTTCAGAGGCCCAAACCTCGTGCCAGCATCGAGGCTTTGGTAGTAGGTGAGGGCATCATCAGCAAGATAGAGGCCCAAATAAACACTCTGGTCTTGCAGGTTCCAATGGTTTATTCTAGCCACAGCTTGGAACTGCTGATACCATGATGGCCAGTCACTGGTACGATCGCCCCTAAATTTCTGAGGGGTAGCTACTGGTCTAACTGCATGCTGACCTAACCCAGCAGGAGGTGCAGCAACAGGACCACCAGCTGGAGGTGGTGGTGGTGGTGGTGGAGGCTGTTGTTGGCCAGCTGCTCCACGATTCTGACGCTGAGCCATTATGACTACTCAAAACTGAAAATGAAAAAAAAATTCTTACAAAATACTACAGGTCCAAATCCCGCTGCCACCAAGTGTAAACTGCTGGTATGTTAGCAGGTTACAACATAATCAAGAAGTACCACTCACAAAACTACTGGCTCACAATATAACATTTAGATTATTTTAGTTCCTGGACAAGAACAACCCAAACTCAAAAACATCCTCTTCTCTCTCGAAGTTCCCTCTCTCGCGCGATCGCGCGCAGGCGCAAAAAGACAACCAAAGAAAAAGAGAAAAAAAAGAGAATATGACAGGATTCGAACCCGCGTGGGCATAATACCAAAAAGAGTGTAATCCGGATATGTACCAATCTCTCCAAAGAACCATTATAAAACACAGTGAATAAACAGCATAAATAAACATGTCATACATGTCTCTCTCTCTCTCTCTCTCTCTCTCTCTCTCTCTCTCTCTCTCTCTCTCTCTCTCTCTCTCTCTCTCTCTCTCTCTCTCTCTCTCTCTCTCTCTCTCTCTCTCTCTCTCTCTCTCTCTCTCTCTCTCTCTCTCTCTCTGCATTCATGACAGTGTGCATGCATGGAACATGCATATTGATTAGTGGTTCTAATACTAGGAGGTATTGCGCGTGTAGTAATCTGAGATCCGCATTTCAATTCTCAAAATAGCATTCCATGTAAACACACTACGGTACGATGCATGCTTGTCCAACTTGCCAACTCGCCGCAAACACACAACGTTTGACCTGACCGCATGGCAGGGTTTAGAAGGTGCACACTGCACACTGTACACTGCACATGCATGTTACTCTAGGAGACTCGTAGAACTCCGATTTCTATTTCTACTTCAATCCTTGCCACATTGCTAACCCCTGTGCCTACACAGGGCATGTGTAAAACATACACAATCATTCTAATAGGGGAGTCCTCTGTGCTCTGTCAAGATGTCACACTGTACTGGCTTCATGACTATCATGGTAATATGATGAGCTGGACTAAGGCCAATACAGAGCACTGAAATTCAAACCGCTTGTCTTCTCAACTAAAATGGAGGAATTTCCGAATGCCTTCTGCTATCGGCAGAGAGAAATCTGCATTTGAGAAATCCGGAATCGTTAGGAACATATTTGAAGTACCCCGCTGGACTGAGGGAATACAGGACAGCGGGTGCCCTCCATCTTGATGTGTGGGGTATGGAGGAACTGATTGAGTTTTGTAAGATTTTTTATTGTGCGTAAACGAGTTTTGTAAGATTTTTTATTCCCGTAGCTATGCAGAAGACGTTACTTCAGTAACGTCTGGCGCTAGCCAGGGTCCACATAGCTTTAATTTGGTGTTTGTTTGTTTGTTTGTTTGTTTGTGTCACACTTGGCGCTATCCCGTATCTGTCCTGTACCGTACCGTACCAGCACAGACAGCTGGCCACAATATTATTTGTTTTTTTGTGCCATCAGCATGCCCGGCGCTATCCCATACCTGTCCCGTACCATCAAGAGTACGGTACCATCAAGAGAATGAGTATATATACGAAGTGTATGGGGGAATGCATTCAGGCCGATAGTGCAGTAGCATCTTGTGTGGATTTGTGTGCGAGGCCGAGATCCCACTGGCAGGCTGGCTGGGCCGCCTGTCGACCAGCCCGGGATTCGCATGTAGGCCGATAGCATAATAATTATAACGTATATAGATGTATAGCAGGGATTCGTATTATGTAAACGACTCCCTGCTGTATAGGGAGATTTTCTGGAAAGAAATACGAAGTAGGGAGACGAGGAAATGCTATTAGAATGGACTTTAGTTGCCGAATAAAAGACAGGATGCGTCAGCAAAAACATACTTTGTAAGAGAGATCCCGTCATCTCCAAAATAATCCTGAATGGGCGAGTCAGCGCCGGTCACAGGAAACGTCGGAAGAGAGATCCCGTCGACTCCAGAACGTCCGTGATCGGCAGAGTCAGCGCCGGTCACTAGGGGTGTGCGGATAATGCTCGAAAAGGTGGCAGATTCTGCTCGAAAAGCAGTGAAATTGGCAGAACCATACAAACCTTATGGCGGGCAATTCCTCGAATTCTGCTCCACTTCTTTATCCACATACCAAACATGCATGAAACTTACACGAAAAAGTACCGAATTCTGCCAATTTTTCTGCCGGAATTATCCGCATATGCCTACCGGTCACAGGAAACGTCAGGACAGATATAACTTCGACTCCAGAACGCTAGCCAGGGCCATCACAGCTTTGACACGTTACATGCATGATAAGCAAGCAAAAAAGCATAGCGTAGGCCCCTGAGCTTCCAAGCTCTCTCGTTGTGCGTAAATGTTTTTTTTAGTTTTGAAGTGCAGATCTCGGCCTACTCTGTGCGGAATATCTCCTAATATTAGAATTATGATCACTACTCATATGTTGGGCATGCATGGTTGTCATGGTTGATGATGAATGTGGAGAGGAGTGAAGTAGAATTGTATTCTATCCTTTAATGGTGTTTGCCCTGAGGAGATTCGCTTGGACAAAGTTCGAGGAGAAAGGAAATGCGTTTTATGTGTGGAATCGTGTTGGCGTGGTGGTTTGTGGTTTGCTTCATGCATGTGTTGTTTGTGGTTTGCTTCATGCATGTGTTGTTTGTGGTTTGCTTCATGCATGTGTTGTTTGTGGTTTGCTTCATGCCTGTGTTCAGTTGACGCATGTTTGCATTTGGATTGGCCTGCCACTTTGGATCGTCTTTCTCCTCGTCTACTGTCGCCTATGGTAGGTGGTGGTTACCATGACACTGTGTGTAGCTTTGCTTGCCTCTTATACTTTAGTTATAGGTTGTGATTACAAAGTGAACAGAGAGGGAGAGAGGGAGAGAGAGAGAGACTAAAACGGATGCACGAGGCTATAAGGGGTCTGGATAGCTATGGCAATGTATGGATGATGAGAGTGAATGTAGCTACCCAGGCCAACGGATAATACGGGAAACGGGATCATGTACGGGACCAACTAGTGAGCGTATCGCGGAGCAGGAAACGGGAATAAGTGCATAGAGAATTTTCATTTGTGTGAGGGAAAGGTGCAAACGAGAAAGAAGAACAAATTTCAACTTTTATTTCCTTTTGGTGGTGATCTCATCTTGCTTGTACTATATCAAACCTTTGTTTAGCTGAAACTTAAGCAATCTGTTGTTACAATGAGTGAACACCAGAGAGTTGGTGAACACAACTTCTCAGTGTTGACTTCTTGTTGTTTCTTGTGCTGTGCAAAAATAGATGTTTGATTATGTTTTTGTTATTGTGCGTGCAGGCCTCACATTCCAATTGGTGTAAATCTCGAGGACGTGGTATGTACTGTATTGTCTGCTGTAACAAGTTTTTCTGCTGCTTGTTGATGGGAACTGCCTTGAACCCTTTTGACCACCATTTTGCAAATTTCCCTGATGGCACTTTTCTTTATCAAAAAAGTATTCTTTCTAGACCAAAGAGTGGTATATTTGATAACATTTAATAACGATAGAAATATTTACGATACTTCTCCAGACGTTTCGTTGTTCTGAACAACATCGTCAGTGGATGTTTGGTCTAGAAAGAATACTTTTTTGATATTACAATGAGAGTGAATAATCAACGGCTTGTCCACCAACTCTTTGCACTTTTCTTTGACGGAGTAATGTTGACGGTTGTACATGTAGTACCAAGAGAACATCCACCCCCCACCCCAGGAGTGTGCAACTCCCGCACACCCTGCTGTCCCGGCAGAATTTCAAGCTGACGTCATTTTTTATGATGAACGTGCGTGTGTGTATATGTGTGTGTGCACATGTGTGTGTGTGCACATGTGTGTGTGTGTCTGTGTGTGTGTCTGTGTGTGTGTCTGTGTGTGTGTGTGTCTGTGTGTGTGTATGTAATGTACTCTGCAGGATGTGCAACTCTTCAGTGCTGGCCTATTTTGGTTCATGGTGTTCTTGCTACCTGCACTGGCGCTGGCTCTTGATGTTGTCGTCAAATTGTACGCAAGTTTGTGCAATACATGCATATTCACCTACACTGTGCATACATGCATATTCACATACATACACGCATGAGTTCCTTGTTGTGTCTCTCCTCTTCTCTTCCCACTCCACCCCTCCTTTTCTCTCTTTATCTCTTCTTTTGAATCTTCTTCCATCGCGGATGCCCAGTGGTGGGTGACCGGTGCCTAGTCTCTCCTCTCTTGTGTCCCCCAGTTGGCAATGTGTATGCCTAGTCTCCCGTGTCTTGTGTCCCCCAGTTGGCAATGTGTATTCTTGGTATCAATGTACACAAGAGAACGAGCGAAAACTGCTTTCCAACAACAATACACTGACTGATGAAATGTTGCTGCTGCTGCCGCTGTTCCTGCTGCTGCTGCTGCCGCTGTTGCTGTTGCTGCTGTTGCTGCTACTGCCGCTGCTGCTGCTGCTGTTGTTGCTGCTGCCACCACTGTTGGTGCTGCTGTTGCTCCTGGTGTTGCTACCGCCACCACTGCTGCTGTTGCTGGATGTGGTGTATGGTTACTACACAGCAGCCCGATGCTTTGTTGGCCGGAAAGGTAGCAATAGAGTTGAAGAAAGCAGAGGGTTGCTGTGTAGGTAGCTGGTGTTACTTTAGACTAGTTTAGTAAACCAGAGAGATAGAGAGAGAGAGAGAGAGAGAGAGAGAGAGAGAAGAGAGGAGAGAGAGAGAGAGAGAGAGAGAGAGAGAGAGAGAGAGAGAGAGAGACACACACAGAGAGAGAGAGAGAGAGAGAGAGAGAGAGGAGAGAGAGAGAGAGAGAGAGAGAGAGAGAGAGAGAGAGAGAGAGAGAGAGAGAGAGAGAGAGAGAGAGAGTAAGTTACATTTATAAAGACAGGTAAGTCTAACAAATGAGGACTGAGACCTCTACAACAGGGTTTTTACGCCTGAAAGCAGGTGCATGATTTAACAAGCAGGTTGTCAGTCTAGATTTTATGCGCAGATGGAGAAAAAGCGCAGAATTTTTGTAATGAGATGAAAAGCAGAAATAATAAGAAATAATAAGAAAAGATGAAATGAAAGCCTGCTCACAACCCCGCCCAGCCTTGCGAACTGGGTATGGTGGATTAAGAACCCGGTTCAACGCTCGAGCAAGCGCTCTCCACTCAAGGTGTTCGAACTCATATGGGGAAATTATAGAAAAGAAATAATAAGATAAAGAGAATAAATTTCAACGCACCTCAATAAACGGAGCCCCACATACAGTACCTCAGAAAAGTGGATCTTCCGACCAGTGTTTTTGTTGACGCCGCAACCAGATGATGTAGCTGCTTCGCAGAGACGTCTTACTGCACAAATTACAAATAAATTTTATTCTTCGATTAGAAAATCCAAGCGCTTTCAGAGCCCTCCGAAGAGAGTCCGGGATGAAACCACGCACACCTACCTCAACCGAAAAAGAAACGACCTGCCACCCGTTTGCTCGGCATTGATCGGCCAGATCCGCATACCGCCTGTCCTTCCGCGAGTTACTGACACTGAATCTGTCCTCAGCACAAACTGTCAACTCCATCCAGAATACAATCCTACGACTCGTAGAGTACAGAACTATATCTGGTCTTAGGGTGGTAAGTGCAACACAGCTAGGGAAAGAAATCTTTGCACTAACTGAGTCGACAAGAAGTTTCCAGTCTGAGGCCGCTGACAGGAGATCAGTCGTAACCAACTTTCGTCTGGGCTGAACGCGAACTGGCTTCTCTCCCGCCTTGCAAAACGAGATGAAGTCAAGCTCATTTGAATTTTCGGTTTGTACGGTGTTTGCAGCAGTGCGGATTCGAATCTCCTCACGCATGTTCCTGACGATGACCCCGAGTACGTTGTCGTGCCTCCAGGTGTAACGTCCCTGGTCCAGCGCTACGCGACAAGCGCCAAGCACGTGGCGCGTAGTACAGGCCCAGGTACGGCACAAACTACAGTACGGATCCACTACGGTGTTTCCCCAACGGCGTAGGTTCGTCGGAGAAGGTAGCACGTCGAGGGTTGATGCGAGAAGAAATTTCAAATCCTTACCAGTACCACCGTACAAAAGGGATTTCCACGAGAGGTCCTGCCACATCACCGATGTCCACTCCAACCACTTGCCTTGCACCTGAAGAGTCTTCAGCCTCAAAATCTGCTCCTGCGCGTTGATCTCCTCAAATGTTTGAAGGAGATCCTTCCTCGGGGGTTTGGAATGCTGCTTCGGAGCACGAGCACCCAACCCTGCACG